TCATTTTTCTCCATATTCTTATCAATCACATATTTTTCAATAAAATAATATTACACACGATCTCAAAACTTTTTCTTTTTTAATTACATATTTTTCAAAAAATAAAAAAACAACAACATTTCAACTATTAAAATTTCAAAAAATGGGGACCTAAGGGTTGTATGTCTAATGAAGTTTTGTAAGGAGACTTGAGCAAGTTACGTGGGGCAATAAAAATAAAAATAATATATATATATATATTAATGTGATTTTGAAAAAGGAATGCCGCTGACGTTGGTGACAGTGACAACGATAGGTGAAGGATAGGGCCATAGGAGTGGGGATGGAGTAGTTGGGGAAGATAATACCTAATTATCATTTTCAATATTAAAATCAGATTTTAATTTCAAGTCAAAATCAAAAAATGATTTTAACCACAAATGACAAATTTCATGAGATCCGTAACTTTTCAATCACATATTTTATCAACTTTGTCAAAATCTACTAAAAATTTTATTTTAATCTACAACAAACAGGAGCTTAATGAGGGAATTATTGTCTTTTGGATTAAAAATTGATTTTAACGAGGTTTTGAACATTATCTTGTACGATGTTGTGAATATATTTTATTCAAATATTTAAATGGTTGTAGTGTGAACATGTCTTCTTGTTCAGTCTTGAAGATTTCATTTTTTTTTAGAAGAAAATGGTAAAAAGAGGCGAACCAATTTGTATAGCTTAAGAAATTCAATTTCTGTTCCAAAAAAAGTTAATTTGAGTGATAAATTTCTCTTTCAATCGTACTACAAAGTTATCTTCTAAATGTGACACATAATTGTTACAACAAAAGATGTTGATTAAATGCACATCAGCACATGACATCCTAAGTACAAAGCTAGTTTATTTGCAGTATACAACAATCAAAAGAACATAGGGAATCTCAGTTGTCAACAGATCTCAACTAATTTCTCGTTTGTGTATATTACTTGCTCATTTTAATAACCACGTAAGACTGCATTGATCGTAGCTTCAAAAAGGGGTGAACCGTTGGCATGTACTCCATTGTTCAAATCAAACGAAGTATATTGAGTATGAAAGACATAATCCACAAAAATATGAGTGTCGGGTTGAAGATTGCACTAACAAGCCTTCCCAAAAACTTTCATTTGAATGAGAGAGGACCGTATATTTATATGTAGAGGAGTAGAAGAGACCCTCCCTCCCCCTCGGATGCTTGATAAGTGTTCTCATTCTGACGGCTCCCTTGTCATGCTCAATCGTGTTAATCCAAAATCATTATAGGCTTGTGATTTTCGTGCTTTGAGTAAATGCGAAAAAGTTGTGATTTGATTGAGTGTCGTCACTGTAGAGCTACCACATCAATCACTTTTACTGTGTGCAACTTTGTCAGGTGAGACTTGAAGCATATACCATCGCCTTGTATATATTCTCCACCTTAGAGGGGATGCATCGCCTTGGATAACAATAGTATTCTGAGTAAAGCATCTAAAGGCATGACCTAATCGTCTCAAAAGGCACGTGTAAGAAGCGATGCAAAGTGAAGTTTCGACATTGCGTGACCTTTTACTTAGTTTTCTCACGTGATTTACCTTGTAGGTAGAGACGTAATCGAGAAACCACTCCAATTGTGGGATGATTATTCTTTGGAAGAAGAAGAAGTAATGGGGGATTTTGGAAAATAGATTTTAATTTTCTAGGTTTTGGAGATGGTGAAGAAGTACATTGAACCTATGGATAATGCGATCTTCACTAGGCTAATATCTGGCCCTGCAAGGTAGGTGATTTGGATGCTGCCATGGATGTTCTCAAGGCTATAATTAGGTTGAGTGTTCTGGCAGAAATGGGGCATTATAGTATTCTGATTGAGAATTTCTGCAAGGCTAGTCAATATAATAACGTTGTTAAGTTGTTGGATAAGCTCACTGAGAAGGAGATCATTTTGAGGCCTCAGAGTACTTTGCATATGGAGGCTAGTGCATATAACCCGATTATAGAGTATCTTTGCAACAATGGCCAGACAGCAAAAGCAGAAATCCTTCTGTGGCAGCTGATGAAAATGGGCGTTCAAGATCCCGTTGCTGTGAATAATCAAGAGAAATATTCTTTCAGAAAAAAGTGCCTATGAATCACTCATTTAGAGCTACCTGAAGAAGAATGAGTCTACTGATGCGAAGACAACTCTTGATAGCATGATAGAGAATGGTCATCTCCCAAATTCATCTCCCAAATTAACGATTTCCATCAGTTTGACCTAAAAAACCATCAATTGACATCAAAAATTAAAATTTTAATAATTTATGTCCAAACCTTTCATTTGTGCCACCATAGATACCAAACTTTTAAACAATTCACAGCTCAAGTCCAGATTGACGGTGTTCGTCATTTTGACCCAAAAAATCGTCAGTTGTCCTCAAAAATTAAAATTTTAATAATTTTGACCAAATAAGACAGGGGTAAAATGGTCATAATATATTTCCCACTTGGCAAACTCTTCTCATAAGCACCCAAAACGACATCATCCCCATCTTCATTACCTTCCGTAGTCAAAACCATCGTCGGTGATGTAATACCCAAACCATGAAAGTTTAAAAGATTTAATAGGTACTACTCATACCAACAAGGTGTACCTTCTTTTCCGGAAATTCATCGTTAGAAACTCCACAGTTAAGCGTGCTTGGCTTGGAACAATTCTACGATGGATGACTCCTTTGGAAGTTTTCTTGGGGAGCGTACGAGTGAGCATAAAGCATGCTGAAAAAACTCATATTGATACAGTGGGGACAGTACGTCGTCGATCTAACGGTCGGGACAACTCGTTAAGTAGGACTCGGGTTGTTACAGTGATGCCATCGCAAGTGCCGGAATATTCCAACTTCAGCCAAAAGAATTGCCGTTTTTCAAGTGGAAGAGGAGAGAACACGAGAGGATTGGGGAGGTTAAGGAATGGAATATGACCATTTTACCCCTGTCTTATTTGGTAAAAATTATTAAAATTTTAATTTTTGAGGTCAACTGATGGTTTCTTGGGTCAAACTGATGGAAACCGTCAATCTGGACTTGAGCTGCGATTTGTTTAAACGTTTGGTACCTACGGTGGTACAAATCAAAGGTTTGGACAAAGTGCAAAAAAATTAAAGGTTTGGTACGCGACTGCAATTTTCCCTAATATTTATATTCTCCAAAGTGATTTATGGTCGAAATTGGTCAAGTCATGCTTCCGTTGTCCACTAAGAAATGGTGGAGAAATTAGTGGGAAATCTACCAATCCCTTCTTCATAATTTGTTCTACATTGACATTTGTTTGCTATTTGGTTGTTGGGAATCTGATTCTCTATTCTTAAGTAAAAGATGTCATCAATACCTCACTACTCAATGAGTTTCAGTTCGTTAAAAGTTCCAGTTTGGACCAGGTTTGGTTGTGAACTGGTTCTGGATGGACCCATCAAGAATTGATCATGTTCACATTACCCATTTTTTCTTAAAAGAAAGATTTTTTATTTTTATTTTTGTTAAAATCTATTCAATCAATGTATCATGATATGTTATGATTTTACTAAGTAAAACTCAATGATTGGTTCTTGATAAAAAAAAATTGGTCTTTAGAGTGATGAAAATTCATTTTATTTTGGTTGAACAGTAAAATACCCCTACCTATTGATCAGCCTGCAAAGAATTCTTTACCTTTTTCGAAATAATATTTGAAACGGCATGGGGGCTAGTTATTAAACAAGGGTTGGTTTTTGGTACCGGCGATGACGCGAGCGACGGTGGTGAATGGTCGTGGTTGGAGAGAGAGGGAGAAGAAGTGAATTTTTTTTTAGTTTTGATTTTTTAATTATTTATTTGGGACTCATTTGTAATTCTTTGAAAATTTTGGTATTGTGATTGTAATTAGTTTTTTGTTTTTATTTTATTTTATTTAAATGTAGTATATTTGTCATATCACGATCCTTTATTGAGAAAATGGACAGCAGGGATATTTCATACTAAACGTTTCAAATATGGACATTTTGTGCTATTTTCTAAAGGTAGAGGAATTTTCTGCATTTTGATCAATAGGTAGGGGTATTGTACTGTTTAGCCTTTTATTTTAGTAAATTTTATATTATTATTTAATTAAACATTTTCGACCCGGAGTTCAAGTCTACTCTATACCGGCCATCAATTCTTAATTTTTTTTAATGGCATGATAGTTATTTATCGTGCGATGCCAAATGGAGACAAATCACAGACTTTGTATTATTTTGTGATAACTAAGGATTAAATTGAAGGACACACAGTTGTAATGTGGACCTTTCTATCTTTACTCCACATATAGATATCCTTTATTATTTCGTGTGTAGTGCTGCTAGTGCACGGTCAACTATTGCAAAGGCACAAACACCACCACTTGGAAGTAGGAATGACAAAAAAATCTAACAAACTCGATATCCGCGGAGCCCCGTTCCGAACAGAAATGGGGATAACCCGCTTAATCGAGTATTCGGGGAGGGACATGGAATTTTGTCCCGAGGCGGGGAAGGGGAACGGGTGGCCCGCCCGTTAAAATTTATTTATTTATTTTATTTTTTAGAATTCAATACTTTAATTGAAAAAATTCACAAAATTTCATTAATTCTAATAGAAAATAGCAACTAAAATTATTTATCCAAATCTAATGAATATGGATAATAAAAATAAATTATCAAAAACTAAAAAAAAAAAAAAAATTTAGACGGATAGTAAACTAAAATAAATTATCAAGGACCCCGCCCCGCCTTAAACGGGTAACGGGGTGGGGATGCCCCCGCCCGCCCGCCGACCGTTGCCATCCCTACTTGGAAGGGCTGTCTTACAAAATGAAATTATTAAATTCCTCCCATGCTTGTGTGCTATGTGTTATCAATGGAAAATACGTGTAACACATGGGTAACATTACATTTACTAACCACTTGTCCACTAGGGCTAGGGCAAGGGCAAGGCCAATACACTGTCCATCCAAGTCCAAGTCCCGCCACCATCCAACCACCACTAATTTCTCTATCCAAATTCACGTTCAGTCATTGTCATTATGACAAATCGCCAAATTTACAATCTATATCCAAATTTGAAAGTGGGTCTAACAATGACTACCGCATTCCACCACTACAATGAACTCACATTTAACTGGAATCAAACCAACTGTAGTGGAGGTATCGAACGACGCAAATGGCAGTAGTATTTAACATCAATGGTGCTTGTCGTGGTGTCGATGGTATTAGGTCATGGAAGATAGAAGACATAAATTTGGCCTATGTTTGGCTCATATTAATAAATAGTTTATAAACTAAATAGCTTTTTATTCACACATTTCAAAGAATTCGAAAATACTATATATTTATTCATAACTCATTTATATCTATTTATAATTTAAATCGTTTATAAACATTTCCTAGGTATGCTTTTGACACCGGTATACCTTTATAGATAATTGATTTCTGTTATTTATAATTCATTTTTATGCGCAAATAAGGAATTTTGAATACTTACATTAAGCACATGTTTGATATTTTAATTTAAGTCAAAATCATTAATTAATTTTAACCACACATTTTATAAAATTTACAGTTTTCTACCACACATTTTATCAACTATTATCAAAATTTAGTAAAAAAAATATTTTAATCAGCACTAGACGAGGGCTAAAATTTTAAACATTTCTTTCGAAAGCATCTATGTGGTCTTGTGTTCAAATTTCTAGAATTCACGAATCCAGTAATTTACATAATACGTTCTAAAACAGCCCGTCCATTCCTTTAAAAGAAAAAAAGGTATATATTTGCTAGAAAACCTTAAGTGTGTGTTTTACTCCATAAGCAAAGCCACGAGAAGTCTACTTGGGAGGTGCAGGTGCGGGTGCGGGTGCGGGTGCGGGTGGACCATAGTACTGAGGAAGTCTGGTCGATTATCGACCTCTGGCTCTACCAATCAGGTAACAAGCAATGGCTATGATTAAAATGAAGAGGATAACTGGGAATGATATGTACAACACATATTCCATCTTCAAATCTTTATTGTGTACTCTCCTGCACTTGATAAAAAAAGACTAATGAACCATTCTTTATAGTTAGTCCCCGCAGTAATCAAATGAATTCTCAATGTAAGAGTAATATTAACAAAAAAATTCTTATTGAATTTTTTTTAATAAACTAATTTAGGAGGCATAAATATTTATATTTCAAACTCAAATCTTCAATACCATTACATAAATATAATTTTTTTTTTTTATATAATTGTGGATGTCCGGGTCAATTTGCTCGCACGTCGACTAATCCCCCGAGACCCTGAGATTTACGGTCTGGTACTCATTTCAGTGACCTTGAGAGAATTCGAACTGGTGACCATTGAAGAGCGGATCCAAAGCCTGACCAATTGAGCAACCTCTCAAGGTCCCTTATGTAAATATAATTAAACCATATTTTCTGAATTTCAGTTTTTTATTCGTGATTTCCAACCAATAAATGAAAAATATTATTTTTCTATAAAATCAGATTAGACAATTTTGATTAAGGAACATAAATTTTTTTGATAAAAATGTTTAATTTAATCAAGTTAATTTTCCAAAACCTATTTACTCACAGAAGCACAAAATTATGCTGATAATTCAAATAGTATTATTATGATTAATCAAAGAAAGCTAAATTAATCCGGCTTAAATCAAGAATTATTATTCGGCTAACCCAGAAAGAGAAAAGGGGGGAAATTATTCAATCAGAAAATATATTAAGAGACAAAATCGATAATCGAACGAGTACCTTCTGTCGAAACCAAAGAACGATCGAACCTCGTACTCGACTTCGCAAGTGAATTCTAGAGAGAGAGAAATAAAAGGGAGAGTTGCTTGCGTTTCTTTACAATTATAAGTGAATATTTATTTTTTGGAGAAATACCAGCAAATGACAGCTACGTTTAATTGATAATTACTGCCAATTGTTTAATGCAGTATTTATTGTATATTTTATGAACAAAACTGTTTGAGTACATAACTTGTATTATCAGTTACCACACTAATCATTAAACAATTTTATCCCCTTTTAATTCATTTTAGAATCCTCTATTTTGGTAATTACTGATTTTGATGAGTTTTAAATTACGTAAATTTGGATTTTCTTTAACAACTATAAGTTTTTCGAACTCGAGATCAAGAGTTAATTAGAACTAGTAGAATGTTACATATTTGTGAAATAATCACTTAAAATATGCAAAGTATATATAACGTAACAGCCCATGTCTGACCCCCATTAAAATTATAATTTATTTTTCTCCATATTCTTATCAATCACATATTTTTCAATAAAATAATATTACACACGATCTCAAAACTTTTTCTTTTTTAATTACATATTTTTCAAAAAATAAAAAAACAACAACATTTCAACTATTAAAATTTCAAAAAATGGGGACCTAAGGGTTGTATGTCTAATGAAGTTTTGTAAGGAGACTTGAGCAAGTTACGTGGGGCAATAAAAATAAAAATAATATATATATATATATTAATGTGATTTTGAAAAAGGAATGCCGCTGACGTTGGTGACAGTGACAACGATAGGTGAAGGATAGGGCCATAGGAGTGGGGATGGAGTAGTTGGGGAAGATAATACCTAATTATCATTTTCAATATTAAAATCAGATTTTAATCTCAAGTCAAAATCAAAAAATGATTTTAAACACAAATGACAAATTTCATGAGATCCGTAACTTTTCAGTCTCATATTTTATCAACTTTGTCAAAATCTATTAAAAATTTAATTTTAATCTATAACAAACAGGGGGCTTAATAAGGGAATTATTGTCTTTTGGATTAAAAATTGATTTTAACGGGGTTTTGAACATTTTCTTGTACGATGTTGTGAATATATTTTATTCAAATATTTAAATGATTGTAGTGTGAACATGTCTTCTTGTTCAGTCTTGAAGATTTCATTCTTTTTAGAAGAAAATGGTAAAAAGAGGCGAACCAATTTGTGTTTAGGAACTTCCATACAAGTTCTATCCAGTATGGAAATAGCTCAAGAAATTCAATTTCTGTTCCAAAATAAGTTAATTTGAGTGATAATTTTATCTTTCAATCGTACTACAAAGTTATCTTCTAAATGTGACACATAGTTGTTACAATAAAAGATGTTAATTAAATGCACACGACATGCTAAGTACAAAGCTAGTTTATTTGCAGTATACAACAATCAAAAGAACATAGGGAATCTCAGTTGTGAGCAGATCTCAACTAATTTCTCGTTTGTGTATATTTCTTGCTTATTTGGATAAACCACGTTAGACTGCACCGATCGTAGCTTCAATAAGGGGTGAAACGTTCGCGTGCACTCCAATGTTCAAATCAATTGAAGTATATTGAGTATGAAAGACATAATCGACAAAAATATGAGTGTCGGGTTGAAGATTGCACTAACAAGCCTTCCCAAAAACTTTCATTTGAATGAGAGAGGGCCGAATAAGTGTTCTAATTCTGACGGCTCACTTGTCATGTTCAATTGTGTTAATCCAAAATCACTATAGACTTGTGATTTTCGTGCTTTGAGTAAATGCGAAAAAGTTGTGATTTGAATGAGTGTCGTCGCTGTAGAGCTATCACATCAATCACTTTTACTAAGCGCAACTTGGTCAGGTGAGACTTGAAGCAGATGTCGTCGCCTTCTATATATTCTCCACCTTAGAGGGAATGCATCGCCTCGGATAACAATGGTATTCTGAGTAAGGCATCGAAACGCATGACCTAATCGTCTCAAAAGGCACGTGTAAGAAGCGATGCAAAGTGAAGTTTCGACATTGCATGACCTTTCACTTGGTTTTCTCACGTGATTTACCTTGTAGGTAGAGACGTAATCGAGGAAACCACTCCAATTGTGGGATGATGATTCTTTGGAAGAAGAACAAGTGATGGGGGATTTTGGAAAATAGATTTTAATTTTCTAGGTTTTGGAAATGGTGGAGAAGTCCATTGAACTTAAGGATAATGCGATCTTCACTAGGCTAATATCTAGCCCGCAAGGTAGGTGATTTGGATGCTGCCATGGATGTTCTCAAGGCTATGATTAGGTTGAGTATTCCAGCAGAAGCGGGGCATTATGGTATTCTGATTGAGAATTTTTGCAAGGCTAGTCAATATAATAATGCTGTTAAGTTGTTGGATAAGCTCACTGAGAAGGAGATCATTTTGAGGCCTCAGAGTACTTTGCATATGGAGCCTAGTGCATATAACCCGATTATAGAGTATCTTTGCAACAATGGCCAGACAGCAAAAGCAGAAATCCTTCTGCGGCAACTGATGAAAATGGGCGTTCAAGAACCCATTGCTGTAAATAATCTGATCTGTTGGCATGCAAAAGAAGGAAATCCTGATTCAGCCTTTGAAATTCTTAATATCATGATCAGGAGAAATATTCTTTCGGAAAAAAGTGCCTATGAATCACTCATTTAGAGCTACCTGAAGAAGAATGAGTCTGCTGATGCGAAGACAACTCTGGATAGCATGATAGAGAATGGTCATCTCCTGGATTCATCTCTTTATAGATCAGTGATGGAGAGCTTGTTTGAAGATGGCAGGATTCAGACAGCAAGCCGAGTCATGAAGACTATGTTGGAGAAGGGGCTGAAGGATCATGAAGAATTGATTGCTAAGATTTTGGAAGATCTTCTTATGAGGGGTCATGTTGAAGAAGCCATCGGAAGAATTGACCTGCTGATGGTTATTGATCTTGCACCTCATTTTGATAGTCTCTTATCTGTTCTATGTGAGAAAGGGAAGACAATTTCTGCTCTGAAACTGTCGGATTTTGGTTTGGAAAGAGATTGAACCATCGACTTTTCAAGCTATGATAAGGTTTTA